CCCAAGCTCGACGATTTTATGTGGTGATGTCGTCGTCGCAGTAGTCAGTAGTCGTCGTCATCGCAATAGTAGCAGTAGTAGTAGTAGTAGTAGTAGTAGTAGTAGTGGTGGTAGTGGTGGTAGTGGTGGTAGTGGTGGTAGTAGTAGTAGTAGTAGTAGTAGTAGTAATAGCCTACTAGCAGTAACAGCAGCAGGCGCGTAGTCGTCGTCGTGGGGTGCTGTTGGTGCCGGTAGTTGTCGTAGTTGTAGTTGTAATGGTAATGGTAGCGGTATTGACAGTGGTTCTGCCAGTGGCAGTGGTAGCGGTGGTGGTGGTGCTGGTGATGGTGCTGGTGCTGTTGGTGGTGGTGGTGCTGGTGGCGGTGACAATGGTTGTGCTGGTGGTGATGGTTTCGGTGATGATCGTCGTGGTCGTATTCACAGTCGTTAGAGTCCTAGTCTTAGTAATTAGTCGTTGTAGTCGTTACGTTGTCGTAGAAGGGGTGTCGCTATTGTTTGATTTTGGGCTTTTGTTGGTGGTGCTGCTGCTGGTGATGATAGTGATGTTGATGATGCTGGATGTTCTTTTGATTGTTCCTGTTATTTTTCTTGTAGTTGTTGTTGCCATCCTCCTCCTCCTCCTGCTCGTCGTCGTCGTTGTCGTGGTGGTGGTGGTGGTGGTAGTAGGGTGGGGTGGTGCTTGGCATAGGTTTCGCATTCGTGGGCATGACAGGGACACAGAAACATCATTGCACATGGTTGCGCAGGTACTGCTTCCGCTACGGGATGCGCGCTTGCCCGTTTCTTCTGCAGTTGCTTGCAGGTGCGTTTGCGTCTCTGAGTGTGTGCGCACTTATATTCCGATATAGTTGCGGCCTTCGGTCTCTCAGCCAGCTGGGCTCGGAAAGCGTGAAATCAAATGTAATCGTCAGCGGTCTGGTACGGCCACAGTGAGCTGTGCATCGTGTGCAAGAACAATGATTTCAGAGCCAACGCCTAGCAGCTAGTGGAGTCCCAGCTTGAGCAAATTCCGATGCGACTGATCGTCAATGTGAGACAGCTTCCTTGCTGCATTGTGCTGGTTCCTTTGGGAGCAGGTTGCATCCGCATGCTGATACTATGACGGTCTCTTGTACGCTCGTTACCGAAGCCTGATGGCTCCAGGATCACTCGGAATGTCGCTGCAGACAAACACTTGCCGTCGAATTTGTTAAACATAGCACACATGCACGGATAGAGAGGTCAAGGCTGCCAGAGAATTCTCTCTTGCAGGAGAAGGGTGGTCATGCCTGATCGTGCGGATGGTTTGTCACTGTACAGAAACAGCGACAGCGCAAGTCTTGCTCGACCCTGATTGATGGAGCTAGTTGCAAACTACGTAGACTACAATGCTGCTAACAGCTTGGCCGCTGTACTGAGATGGTGTGACACTGCTGGTTTATACATACTTCAGCAGCTGCCTGACCAGATTGCAAAGGAAAAGCTTCAGGCAATGTGGCTGAAATCGGCTGTCATGAGAATGATTAAAGTTGAGATGCTGATCCATGGCGCGGCTTGGGAAGACACTTTCGTCAACGGCGGCGGATGTGGAACTGCCGTGCTCGTGAACCCGGTGCTCACACGACTTGGAAACACTAGCTACACGCTCCAGACTGAGCTGTCCTTGGCAAGCGGGAAGCCGCTAGCAAGAGTCGAGACCGTCATGGTGCAATTGGATGATGATCTCGAGCGGCCTGTACCCGTGCCTCGCGAGCAGTTAAAGCCGTTACTCCATCCCTTGCCGGAACTCGTGGTGCCTTCTTTGGGACAGCCTCCTGCGTCATGCTTTACATGGACTGTCCAAGTCAGGCCATCCGATTGTGACTTGCTGGGTCACATGAACAATTCTAGCTACGCCGTACTCTTTGAAGATGCGAGGTGTGCTTCTTTAGGGCACACAGGACTATCAACTGGCGCAACTTCAGACTCACACACGAGCAAGGCGTCAATCGAGTACATTGCTCAAGCAAGAGCCTTCGATATCCTCGAAATTGATGTTTGGTGGGATGCTGCGCACCAGGCCTACGGCCTGTCTATGCGTACCGCCGCGCAGGTCGTCGTCGCTCGAGCCGCGCTGTTTCCATTTCACGCCTCTCGTCTCTGATGCGTTGGATTTTGGCAGATGTGTGCCGTACCAATGGTCTGCTGAGCCTGCCTACAGACTGGCGATCCGCACGTTCTCTTTGCTAGTTTGGCCAGGACTGCACTCTGATATCGGCGGAGGAGTGGTCCTTTCTTCCCTGTGGCCCAGCAAACGGGTGGCTCTCTAGACATCTCCAGACTAGTCACCAGCGAGTGCGGAGTTAGTGTAGGAAGTCTTACAGACAAGGTATAGTCACTAGCCTGCGAAGGGCGAGCACCCATCGCCCAGGCTCCATGTCCCCCGCGTCCTCGTACAGTCATAACAGGAAAGCAAGAAGATGTAGCACTACCGCATATCGCAAGCACACAATCCTTGGGCTTTGACATGAAATAAGCCCGATTTCGCAGCGAGCTGCAAGTGTAAACTCCTTTGCAGCTGCTCTGCTTCATGGCCCGCCTGACCAAGGATCGTATCCGTGCGATGACCACTACGAGTGGATGATGCAGGCTAAGCTGCATGGCATGGCCTGAAGCTGCGTCTCGATCCAGCACGGCAAGCGTTCAAATGCAGGATGAAACTCCGCGATACATGGCCTCCACCAGCTCCTGGCAGCAGCGGGCACGAAGTCCAACAGGCGGCCAGCGGCAAGCAGGAAGCTAAGAGAAGCTAAGTCTGGCCGGTGCTTTTTTGTAAGTTCTCGACCTCGGCTCCCAGGCCGAGCGAAGCAAGCGACGGCAGTTCTCCTCTGGGCAGCTTGAAGTACTGCCAAAGGAGGGAGAGACACAGGAGCCCAATTCCGAATGTGCTGGTGCGATTGGCGTTCTCGCGCTCGTGGAGCCAGGAGCACAGAGGCAGTCCATCTCTCGAGGCAAGGACATACAAGGATGCAACTATCGTGCGAATGTCATTCGTCAGCTCAGGAGCTCCAAAGAGTTCAGAAGACCTTGGCTGCGCGGCTAATCAAGCTGGACGAGGAGACGCTTGGACAGACCTGGCCAAGACATCGATTGAGCGGTGCCAGGGTCTCCGTGAACGAGATTCGCAGCTTGCAGAGCTGCGAGCCAGGTACCAGGCCGATGTTGAGCAGAGTGTTGGTACTTACAGCTGTGTTCTAGAGAAGCATACTGCCCTCACGTAAGCTGTATTTCGGAAAGTCAGCGTGCAACTCGGATAGTGCCTATTGACGTCACATACATGAGAGACCTGGAAGGAAGTGCAGAAAACGAACGAGGAGCGGGTGTGATGCGACGATGTCTTATGCACTGTGTGGCCAATTCGTTTTGAGAGTGGGGTCTTTCGCAGATTTTGCAGGAGTGGCGCAGCCGTGCCTGCAACGCTGAGGAGGACACCGGGCCCTTTTCTGTGATCGGTGCAGCTGGGACATATTGTAGATGGCTATGAAAAGTCTGGCTGCCGCCGACGATAAGACGCAAGGCGTCCCAACCCATTTGGTCTATGCAACACGATGACTGCACGTCGTCTCTGTGGTCGTCGTTGTCGTGATGCTGACAGTTGATGCTAGCACTGTCAACTGTTGCGGCGGCAATGCTCTGATGTGCAGGAGATGGCGGTGCTTCGGCGCATGTTGGAGGAACGGACGGAAGAGATCCAGAGGCCGGCAGAGACGTGCCAAAAGATAAAAGACAAGCCGGTCATCAGCACAAAGATTTGCGAAATTAATGCCGAAGCGACATTAAATCGTGCAGCATATTCCATGGCATTTGATGGACACGAGCAGTTCGAACGACATGACCTGCCCTTCATGTAGACTCCAGACCTTGGTGTCGCCCCGCAACTCGACCAAAGAGAAACATCACACGAAGTGCCACGAGTCTGGAAAGGAAGGAACGGACAACCAACAACTACTAGTGGATTGTTCCAATGCCGGTACACACAGCTCACTTCGCGGAAATAGAGGGAAAGGTTACTAGCAGCTACTGGAGCAAGATTGTAATCCGTTCAAGCGATTCGGCCATGTGGAGAGCAAGACTCTCCGCAGCGACTTTGGCTGTTCTCTCGAGTGCATCTCCCGGTTAGGTTGCAGAGCCAACTGTCAGAAGCGGTTGCTGGGCGCTGAGCGGCAGCCTGATGTCTGGTCACCATATCATCGCTGGATCGGATGTATCCCCAGGAGCACTGTATAGCAGTATAGCATCTCACGGCCGCGCGGATTCCGGCCTTCGACAGCTTGCTGGCTTTACTGGTGCAGCCTTACGCTCTGGAAGGCCTTGGATTCTCCAGGCTTTTCATATCTGATCTGTGGAAGAGGAAGATTTGCAGACAAGAGAGGCGCATTGCACCGCTTCAGCACAAAAAGCCAGATTCCGGTTTCTTCGCGTCCTGTCAAACTAGTAACTAGGGATTCCCCGAAACCCCTTTCAATTTTTCAGCACAGCCTCTAGATTCCAACTCAGGGTTTTGAGGCCTTCCGGATCGGATCCCTCAGTGTCTCGAAAGGAGAAGCTGGAGTTTTGCAGAGCCACTGAATTCCGAGTTGCTAGGACTAGGACTCCCTTGGCTGCCCTGCGGCACGAGGTACCATGAGTTGCCGCCGTCCGACATCAAGCAGGCCAGGGAGATTTCATCGGAAATCAGGACTCAGACTCCTGAGCTAAAGCGGGAGATGGAGGGATTCAAGGGCAGCATGAATGGATCATCCTTCAACAATCCTCGATCACACGGAGTGGTGAATACAGGGTCATTTCATGGACCGTTTGAAATTTGACCTGTTGATGCATGTGGGTTGCTTGGCTCCGCCATCTTGCAGACATGCATGCCCGCCCGTGGATTGCTTGGCCTCGCCATTTTACGGAGAGTGAGGTCTTGGCATGGTTTGCAGTGGATTGCTGGGTCTCCCAATTTCACAGAGATGCACGTTCGCCCCTGGATTGCTTGGCACAGCCATTTTCTGGATACAGTCTTTATCAAATGGGAATCCAAGCTAGCCGCCTAATCACAGAGATCGTGTAGTGACAGTCTAGTGCCCTCCGAGCCTTGATTTGGTTTTGGATCCTCCAACTGCTCCACTCCCATATCTTTTCATCTACGAGCGAAAGTCTGCGACCAATCAAGTTTGAAAGCCCGATGTCTCCTGGGAAACTTGAAGACAACTGCACAGTCTGGCATTGCTCCAAAGGCTTTGAGATGGTACAGGCGAGGGGCGCGGATGAATCACAAAGGGTCTACCACAATGCCAGCGCCCTGGCATACTTCTTGAGTTTTATGGAGCAAGGTTCCGAGGAAGGGGTGACCCATCAAAGCATTCAAAAAGATGTAGTGTCTGCGTGGCAAGGCTTGGCAAGCTGCACTTGGCTGCTGCGCGGCACCGAGAGAAGGGCAGACTACGGCACACCAGTCCTTGTAGGTTGTAGTTGAGCTGCGAGGAGTTTTTGTTTCTGACATGCTTTGAGCGCTCTACCGTATAAGGGCCAGAAGGAAAAGGCGCTGCACTTCCTGCAGCGGACGGGACTGCCACAGCGGAGCCATGCCCCGTGTGCAAGAGCTGTTGGACAGTGCATCCACAGCACGACGAAGCCTCCAACCTTCATAGCGTGAGAAAGGCTTGGAAACACCGAGAACTTTGCGGCGGTCTGACGTCTTGGACAGAGGTTGTCCGACGAAATGTCTTTGAGTGGAGAGACAATCGCGCGCCTCCTTTCAGGTCACGGTGGGGAGAGGGGCGACTCCCTGGCACAATGGCGGGCGACCCAGTCCTGTCGTGCTGGTTGTTACACGACCAGCTAAGCGGTGCATGCCACAACCCACGGCTGGGAACCAGCCTCTGACCCAGCGAAAGGTTTCTTGGCGAGCTTTTCATGCAAAGTGCAAAACTCCGAGACGCCGCCGGGCTCCTGTAGAGTCTTTCTGGCCCGTGGCTGCACGGTGGAGTGAACATGTTAAGCTGTGCCCTATGCCCAGTGCTGCTCCAGTCTGGGATCAATATTGATCAGGACCGCAGGTAGGGTCACGACCGTCATTTCGCTTCCCTACCTCGGATCATGGCTCCCCGCGGGTGGCCTGCACGTAAAAGGGTGCACCATGTGGCAGGAAAGAGAACCACATATCAGACCGAGAAGACCATGGCAGTTAGATCTGGAATGATGGGTGGATTATTTGGACCCACCGGCAGCGATTTTGCACCGCAGGCTCAGGTGCGATCAAAGGATCAGTACATTCCAACAGCTGCTGGTGAGGATGTCCGACATAATCGAGCAGCAGCAGCAGCACATCCAAGCAGGTACAGCCTGACAGACTTTGATCTGCGAGTTCCCTCCAGCGCCAAGCTCATGGGCCATTTGACCCGGCTCCAGGATGAATTGCGAGGATGCATTTCTGCTCGGCCTTTGATGCCATGTGATCGGTTGCTGGATCAAGCCCTGCAAGTTGAGATGCCGAGGGTCAGTCTGTGGAGCTCTTCCCGCATGCCAAGTTCTGAGAGCAATGAGGTGGACAAAGGAGGATCCGTCAAGCAGGATGACCGCTTAAATTCAGATGCAAAGCCCGGTGCCGACATTGACTTGGATGGTTTGGAGAGTCATTTGGAAAGTTCTGTTGCTCGCGAATCTTTGCGGTGCAGCCGGGCATGGAGGCCCGAGCTTTGCAATACTCGTGTGCTGCGTTGCTTAAGGCTATATAAGGCTATATTAGACTAATTGTAAGCGGATAGGCTGACAAACTAGACGGGGTTGAGACGCGTGAGGCGCCCAAGCACACCTGCCTCAACTGTACATGGATCGTCCTGTATTGGTTGTTTTCTTTCGTGATTGCTCGCACCACGGATATGTTTGTTCGTGCAGACATAGCAGAGTCTCAGAGCGAGCATCTCTCAGAATGCATACATGGCAGCGAGAGAGACAGAGGGGGTTCATTGGGCGGGTGCGCGCTCGCGCGCGGGGCTTGGGGCAGGACGCTCCCCGGGCTCCCAGGGTTCATTGGGGGAAACTTATGCACTCAGTCCTGTACTCAGTGTTGTTGCTGTTGCAAAAGGGGACACTGTCAGCCAACCGTAGGGTCAAACAAGCCGGGGGCTAAGCACACAGCCGTAGAGGGGATGAGGCCTGAACATCAGTTTAAGTTCAGGGCTTGGGGGGGCTCCTGCAGCAACCGACCTCTCCAGCACAGACAAGCCGTAGGAGCGAACACCGCCCTGAAACCCCAAAGCCTGTTCCCTAATGTGCCATAGACAGCAGGAGTGCTTCACCTTTAACAGAGAACGCGCCGGCGAAAGAGGAGGGAGGGCACGTGAGCGAAAGGGAATGTCTTGGCCCTCCAAAAGAAAGCAAAGCAGAGAGTACATGTGCGCACTGCCTCCTCGCTTTCCGAAAGACAGACTCTGAATGCAGACTGCAAGCTCACTGGCCACAGTGAACGACCGGAACATGTAGCCTGATTCGTTGACCCGACATATCCCGACATGAGCGGCTTGAGTTGGAAGTCTTGTGGGTGAAGCCCGAATGGTCTGACTGAGAAAGTGCTGCTCGATCCGAAACGGGATGACACAGACGAGGCATTATCACTGAATGATCATGTCACGCATCGTTCTAAAGTTTGGTTGGTGACAGCATAGTGCGATTACGAAAAGGTTTTGGTGCAAGCCGATGTGCCGGAGTGAACAGGAGCAAGTGACAACCCAGTGTTCTGACCTACATAACGACATATAGCCGAATATAGCCCAAGTTCTCGCAGTTGCTCTGCTGTTTCTGAAAGTTTACTGGGCTAGCAAGCTGGGATTCGTTGATACCTTCCACATGGGTCTTGCAGGATTTGCAGGTTCCAGATAGCGTGGGTTGTGCAGTCGAGAGTGCAAACAAAGTCTCTCAGACTTCAGTGGTTTCGCTGGATCGCCTGCTGACTTCCGAAGGTTGCTCGCAATTGCGCAGGGCCCTGATCGAAAGATGCTAAAATCGAGATGCAGCTGGGTCCCGGTGGGAAGCAATGGGGAAAACTCCAGGGTAGGGCAATTCATCGAAAAAGATTGGTGAAGGTCTTCGGCCACAGCGTCAACGGAAACCTTTCGACATAGTATCTCGACAATCCGGCCGCCGGGTTTGGCCTTCCTCATAAGCTTTGCTGCGGGCTGAATTGATTGTTCCTGGGCATGTCGTGCACGCCGGAAGGAAAACGGGCGTGACATCGCGGACCCGGTCGCCGGTGAAGCCTCTGTGCCGGACTCACTGTCATTGTCAGTTCCTTGAAACAGGGTCAAAGCACACTCTCACGACCAAGCAGCCGAATCCGACGACCCCACTTGTGTCTCTAAGGCCATTGGAAGATGGAGTCTTGGACGACGCGTGCTTTGAGAAGGACTGAATAGGGAAGCTGCTTTGCCTGCGCAGGGCTTGCCACTAGTTGCTAGTAGCCTCTTGTGTTGGCAACTCCAAACAGGACCGTCGCTCCCTTGACATGGACACTTGGATGTGTCCAGGCGGATTGTTTGCACGGCGTTGTGGTCGTTCTGCATCTGTCAGCATCGACAGTGGGCCACACGTCATGGCTCCAGCTTGATAGTTTCACTCATCACACACATGGAAGTGCATATCGCAATAAAGCTTACAAGGAGTGTTGGCACCAGCATAAGTAGTCGTCAATGGCAGGACTTTGCAAAGCGGCAACTCGTGCGCCCTCCGGTGGGTTGGGTCTTGTGTTCGTGTATTCTGGGTCAGCTGTAAGGATACATGCTGGGGCCAGTCAGTCTCACCTGTTTACTGCTGCTTATCTGAGTCAGTCGTAGTTCCTATGAAAGAGAAGCCCGGCCACGGCTTAAGACACTGGAGACATCCCAGACAGCCGCCACATTGCTTCGTGTCGCAACACGGCAACATGCAATGGCGCCGCAGTTCAGACTAGCACAGTGGTATGGGGGCTCGAGACATCCGACGCGATCGAGAGAATGCCATCGACAGATGCTGTTCCGAGCCTTTGTTGCAAGGCAGTGGCAATGGGGTTTCTTCTGCGCCTTTGAGATCTGAATTCAGGATATCGAAGCAGCAGACTTTGTGGCCTTGGACCTTGAGTTCTCCGGGCTGTTTCTGGATGAGTGTGGGTCCAGACATTCTTCCCTGGAAAAGTATTTTGCCAAGTGCATTGCCAGCATCCCCCAGTTTTTACCACTGCAACTGGGAATATGTTGTGCTCGGCAGCGGCTATCAGACAAAGTCTGGGAATTACGGTCCCACGAATTCAACCTATGGCCGTGTTCACGACGATTGTTCATGTCTGACTTCAAATCACTACGGTTCCTGAGAGAGAACGGCTTTGATTTCAACACCTACCTGGATACCGGCTTCTCATATTCCAGGCTCCCGGAGGCTCACCAACCGAAGAAGGCCAGAAGATTCAATGCCAATCAGTTAATACAGGCGCTGGAAGACAGCAAAGTGCCCTTGGTCGTTCACAACGGATTTCTCGACCTGCTGCACTTGTTTCATGGTTTTATTGGAGACTTACCAGGTGAGTGCTGGGACTTCTTTGGAAGTTGGCTTGCGCACTTTCCGACGACTTTCGACACGCGACTGTTAGCGCAGGAGGGACAGTACAAGATCTTGAGGGGCAGTGGGCTTACGCTGGAGGCTTTGCACGAGCAGCTGAGCAGATCCGGCAGAGGGCCGGGTGTGCGGATCGAATGCCATGGGCCACTCGAAGAGGACGGTCCATGTCATGGTTCCTCGGGACACGACGCCCTCCTGACTGCCAAGGTGTTCATCTGGGAGCTGGATTGTTGGATCCATCTGGATGCTGTCGAGTATGAGCAGAAAAAGCAGAGGAAGAAGCGCACCAGCGAGCTTGAGAATGCCCTTCTTCCCTTAAGCTGGCAGGAGGTTCACCAGCTTGCCGAAGAGGTAGGTGTCAGCATTTACCGCTCGATCGTAAACGGCCGCTCTGGTGGACCGCAGGGTGCCCGACGTCCTCTAGCTGAAATTCGCACAGCCATCGTGGCTGTGCAGTACGACTCTTGTCGAAAACCAACGCTTTCCTCTTGTCCTGATAAGTCTTCGTCAGAGTTCAAGCGCTAGTAGTATCCAGCGCTCACGGCCAAGGCCAAAGAAGTGGACGATCAAAGGTGTCAGGGCCAGGCCGGCCGCCAACGATCAGCTGTTTGGGATTCATGTACCGGGCACAATCGGGTCAGAAGCACTAGTTACTCGACCCACCAGCACTACAGAATTTGTGGCAAGTCCGCCAGCACGTGGCGGCGGTGTATTTCAAGATTCTGAAATTTTGGCTCGGGCTTCCATACCAGGGCTGATATAATATGGTTCCTCCAACATGCAAAATCACGATATTTTGCATAGAATGCAACGAAATCCTGTGCACGCTGAACAGACACGGTTTTCGACAGCAGGGAGTCTCCAGATGGACCGATGGGTATTCAATGCCCTGCAGGTTAGCTCACGCAGCTTGTATACCCTGAGCCGGCATCTAAGTCGGCCGACCGTGGACAGCCTGAGCTGAACAGCTACTGTGGTATCGGCATAGTATTTTGCGCTGTCTAATTTCCAGTTACAGTTTTGCCGTCCTTGGCTACCGGCCTCCCTATCCTGCGCTATGACCTGAGTCGCGCAACTGTCCTCTGTCCCGTCCTTGCTGGCTCGGTGCGAGGCCCAGATTGTCCAAAATCCAACCCCGGCAGGGGCATGATGAGTGGTTCCAACATGGAACATTGTCAGCAATCCTGGGTTGGAAGACTGCAGATTGGCAGACCCCAAAGTAGACGAGTAGACCCCCTCCAGTTCTAAGATATGCAAATCTGGACGACAAACGGCACGGCCTCTCCAATCCGCAGCGTTCTCGGGAATATTAACTATTGACAGGCTGCCTGCGATTTGTCCTGCCGCACGAGCGAGACCAGTGCTGGTCTGACAGCAGATCTGCTCGTCTCGCACAAGGCGCATCGCTGCGTCTGTCGGAATCTTTGAGACGACTGCATTGTGTTGAGTCCCCCAAGCGAAACAGCGTACTTGCGCCCATGCAGTATTATGCAGGTATGCAAGAGGTTTCGCAATTGCCTGGCTGTCGTGGGTGCCAGCCGCAGCATTTAGCAGCTTTCGTTTTTCCCTCACAGATTTGTCTTCGGCAGTGACAGCTGAGGTGCTTCTCCTGGCCATATCTGTTTAGATGCCATCGCCGCCGCGGGAATGGCCAAGAAAGCAGATGTTGGCATCGAAAATGCTCGTGCCGTGTTGAGACATGGGCGGGGTTGAGATGCACCTGGACTTTGAGACGCCACGAGGCTTTCAGTTTTAGCAGGATGTCTCCTGTGGCAGGCGATGCCTTCAGAACGGAGAGGAGGCCGTCTCCGATTTTCAATCTTGTCCGAATCGCCTGTTTCCAGCCAGATTGCAGCTGACGCTTCTGAAGTCTCTACTGTAGAGCAGTAGGATTGTGTTGGAAGCTGGGCTCCCCAACTGCGCCATCACTGTTTTCTGTGCCTTTGTGCAAGTGAAGCTTTAGTGGAGGTCGGCTCAGGCAAGCCGTGGTGTGATTCGAAGGCAGCATGTGCAATTGCAGGACGAGCTGTTTGTCAGACTCACCATGTGTCAGCAAAATCACAGTGCATCACAGGAAGGCGGAATCTGTTTGAATACCTCTTGTGAGGATGACGATGCAGCTTTTCGTCGGCGGTCGGGCTATGCTTCGCAGTCCTGGGATTTCACCTCTGACCTTGGGCTGGGGCTAGGACGGCTGCGCTGAAGCCGGCGGTGACTCTCAATTCAGTTTCAAAGGCTGCAACGGGATCTTCAAGCTTAATTGTGCAGCTTGCATGCAGCAAGCGAGCTTAGACTTGGCGGGGCGAAAAGCTTTCAGCATCTGACAGACTGAGCGAGATCATAGCGGGAGTGGGTGAAGCATAAGAAGAAAACAAGTGTGAGGTCAAATGGTGGAAGCTGTCAGCTGAAAATGGAGACAGCGATGCCATGATGCGTTTGTCGCAGGCCATCCGTTGCGGACACAGATTGCAAGCTTTTTGTCGGAGATTCCTAGTTGTGCGAGTCTTTGATCTCCTTCGATCCGCTGCATGTCTGTGGGCATCCGGCTCAAAAGTTGGTGCTCTGCACTACACGCAATTCCCGCGCTCACTGTACTCCTGACTCTCGAAGTCCACGACTAGCCCCTGAGACTGCAGATTAGCTTTCGAAAGCCTCTGATGCCACACATGCTCTGTCTGATTCGGTGTGTGTGTGTGTGTGTGTCTCTTCTTAGCAAGGCAAACTACTACCAATCACTTTGCACAAGCCTGGACCTGAGCCGAAAGCCTTGGGCACCTTGGCCCACGTCGGTTTGCACCTTCGCAGAGTTCTTAGAGGTGACTCACGATGATCGAAACTCTCCATACTTTGTATGAGGCGCGAAGTCAAGTGGGAACAGGATCGCATGTGCAGAATTGTGCAGATGTCCACCTGCCCATGAAAGTTCGTAGTTCCGTGCGCAGCTGCATTCGGTAAATGTCGTGAGCCACGGGCATAGCTCCAAAAGTCATTGTGCGAAAGTTTTGGGAGGGCCGCAGCACTAAACTTGTTGAGATCAGCTCGAGTCGCAGACGTGCTGTTGACCCTTTATCGGCATAGTCGTGCACACCGACCCTCAGGGCCCAGCAAACCTTGTGAAGCTTTCCGAAATCACGCTATATACGAGTTCATGGACACGTCGCTAGATGTGGCCGTCGTGTGGTGCCCTCGAGACTTCCTGTGTGCAATCCAAACGGTGCAACATGTCTTCGACTGCGGTGCTCGATTAGCTAATTCAGCCAAGTTTCGCAGAACTTGTTCCAGCAACCTGGTTATTATTTAATGTGCATGCGGCAGATTGTGCTCATGGCCAAGCTGGAGATTGCCGTCTTCATATTGGCCGCAGGTGCTCACCCTGAAGTGGAGGGTCTGATCTGAAACTTTTTGATTAATTCTGCTCTCGTGTTGTCAGATCCGAGGCCTTCATTTTCTCTTGTTCAGCAACTTGGCGCTCCGACGCTCGCAGTCCAAGCAGACGTCTCAGCTCGGTAGCAGCCACGCACTGGCTGCGCGAGTGTACTGCGAGGCCCCGAGGCAAGTCAAAGCTGGATGATTCAGGCACGTCGGGCGTACGGATGGTAGAGATGGGTAGGGGGAGGAGCTGGGCCGTGTCACGACGTCTGGCGAGGCGATGGACCGACCGGGGAGGTCCATTCACAGAAAGCCGAAAAATCTGCAACGTCTCCATCCGCAACAGTTCAGCGCGCAATCAAGCCGCTGCTGCGTCCGCGTCACAGAGACACGATTGCTATGCTGAATGCGGTGCAGTTCGGAATCATTCCTGTGCTGCACTTGCCTCGTGAGGCTCTGCTGCAAAGGAGGCTGCGCTTAAAGATGAGGTCAGTCGTGTACTCGACTCGCTCAAGGCCTTAGCGTCGTACCTGTGAGATTTTGGAAAATGTCACGTGTTACCCCAAACCAAGAAGAGGTGCCAGAAGCAGAACGCGAGGAAGTCCTTGCTGACGTATTGGATGGCGGGAACCGGAGGGTTTGTAGGTGATTCTTCAGTCCGTAGGTTAATCCGACCATAACTTTCTGGTTCAAAGGCCTTGGTCGTCATGCTGAAGCGGAGCTGCTTGGAGCTGCACGGGACCAAAGCTGCCGGCGTCGCATCGTCTTGTCGTCTTTTGTTGTGCTTTCTGCGCTCGAAGAGGTTCGTGCTCTGGTTCCGAAAGTCACGACCTGGAGGATGGCTGAACACCTCCTCCGCCGGGCACTTGGCACCGCACTTTTTTGACAGCACTGTTTGTGTTATACGATATGCGCCAATGCTTGTGCGAAGTACGCCCACAAACACATGTGTCACATGGGGCTTGATGAGTGCTTGCATGTCCATGTCTTGCAAAACTTGCTTTTGCATGGAATAGCAGGCATATGCAGGCATGTTTGGTGCAATGGTAGACTTTCGCTCGCTGGAGCATGTCGGGATTTTCGGGGGAGCGTTTGCGCCCTAAGTGGCGAGCAGGCACACTTTCGAGATTTTACGAAACAGCGTCGGGAAGACGATGTTGTAAAGACATTCCAGAAATTTGGGATAATCAGGGCACGTCAGGGTTGTTTCGTGTTGGTCGCAAGTCCCCAAAAAGCACCGAGATCATCTTTGCTGCATGCGCCGACGTTGAGAAGTTGTGATCGGTTGATTTTGCACCTGGAAAGAATATGTGCAGGACGATAACTGAGGAGATTTTTGTGGGAAGCATGTGCCGTTCAGTCGCAAAGCGAGGATTCTTGAACATATTCCTTGTTTTAGTAGACTCGGGCCATACAGTGCCTGATCTCGCGAGGCTTCGTCGGCACCCGGGCACCCGGAGACGTCGAGGCGCTGCTAGCAGAGGCCGAAACCTCACATCAATACGAATCTGTATTGTTTTTGCTGGTCTCCACGATGCATGTTCGTACTGTTAAGGCAATCTGTTGTTTTGGCGAGTTTTTCAGGTCGAGTCACACCACGTCGATGCCAAAGAAACACTTCCACATGGTGTCGCGGTGCCTCGGCTTAGTCCACAGAACGACTTAAACGATCATGGTTGCGGATCTTCACAGAGGTCTTGTATGTGATGTCGTTGTCTCGGCCACACGGTTAAGTTGTTGCAGAATGAGCAGCATTGCTGCATCGTGGCAATGTCAGCTTAGAAGTGTCTTCACGACAGAGGATGGTTACCGGGTAATTCAGGAAATTTCAGGAATAAGGCGAGATGTTGCTCGATGCAGAAGAGATGGCGGCTTGACGCGAGATGAGTTCCTCATAATCGGATACAGAGCGATCAATTCAGCGACTTACTTTCAAGATATCTTCTGTTGAGTCAGTCTAAAACTACAAAGAGGTGCGCTAAAGTCAGCTCTACTTTCCGATTAACACAGAAAAAATCGATCACGATTAAACTGACGGGGCTTGGTGGAGAATTGCCAGGCATTGTGTGAGAATTGAATGTGCGAGTATCACCAGACTTGAAGCGGCAGGTTTCCTGCCACCAAGCCTTCCACCGCATCCTTGACACTGTCGTGAAGACCGATGTTGACCGATGCTGGGTGCACGTCTTAAAGCTTGGTTGACTGAGATGTAATCGTCTGGCAAAGAACCTTGCCCAGGACGTGCTAAAGCGCATGGAGGCTCGCTGCGATGGGGGGCCAGGGGCGGCTGCGCGCCAAAGAAAGAACATGTCATGTTCTCTCCAGCACGAGGCACTTGGCCTGTCGCCGAACAATGTCACGTGCTCTATTCTGCTCAAGGGTGTTCAGAAAGGAATGCAGGAAGCTGTTGCCGTGAGGGGCCGTGTCCATGTAACCAGACAGCTTGTTCGATCCATCAGTGCATGAGGAGGGATATCTGCAGAAAGTGATGAAGATCATCGACGCACGTGAAGTCAAAGACATGGACGAGGCTTTGGATTGCACAGATGGGCGATGTCAGTCAAATCTGGCTGTTTCACAGGTCTTGCTGGGATCCCTCTACGAAGCTTGTATTCGTTGCGGTCAAGCACCTCGACTCTAATCGATTGTCCTGTGGCATCGAGGAAGGTGCTGTAGGTCGTAGTAAGAGCCCCGAAACCCAGAAGAGCGTTCACGTTTGTGTTGTGTTGATTGCTATTCCGACTCAAAGGCATACAAGAACGCCTGCCCTTTCCTGGTGGAAGCCGAGGTCCAGTATCTTCTGAACTATGTGAAGCGTCTTCGTGAAGAGAGCGGCTTCGTCCAGGCTGCTCTGATCGCAGCAAAGCTGCCGGTCGACTTTGAATCTAATTGGATTCCTTCCTCAACTCAGGTCCGCAGCGCGCACACCGTGGGCTCCATCATTCGTGCTTACGGCGCAGCGGAGGACTTTTCGAGCCTCTTCCGGCGTGAAACGTTTGCAAGTGATATCAGCCGCATGAAACTGTCGGCCGGCTAGCTTGCGCATGAATTGATAGGACGTCGATGGCGTTTGGGCCACATGGAACGAGATGAAGCGGAAGCAGATCCAGCCAACAAGAATCACATTAGGCTGCATGGTGGAGGCGGCTTCAACTTGTAGCTATGAGACTGTCATAGTCAATAGCTGTGTATCACAGGCGCTGGCTTCCAACAATGATGCCGAAGGCGAGTTTTCTGGGAAGCAGTTGGGAACTCGCAAGATGGACCTATGCTAAATCAAGTTGGACATGTCGCCACATTTGGCGAGTTGAATCCTCCTGCAGAGGTGCCTACGAGATCATTCAGCAGGCCACGTGTGATCATTAATCAAGACGGGATCCGTTTGTACAGACAGCACAACTTGATACCGATAAGTTGTCAAGACCGGCCGGAACTGCGAGGAAGGTTTTCGAGGTGTCCACAGACATCCACTGACTCAATCAGCACGATGCCTTTCAGTCAATGTTTTCGGCTTCTGTTGCGACCCAACGGACGGCTATGCATGCGTGTGTGCCTACACACACACATACACACACCCACACACGCGTGCAATCCTCCCTCTGATTGACTTGTTTCTGAAAGACACTCCTAAATTCATATGTGAAGACAGATAGCCACTAGGCAGTACATTGGGATTCTAGGCTTCAGCCCCATGCCATAACAATGCAGAAAACACTTGCAGACGACACTTTCCGAATCGCTGGTTGATCAGACCCAGTATCAGCCGTGGCACAGCCCTCTTCGTTGCGCAACCAGCTATGCTCACGGGGTTGCCGCCCTGCTGAAGATGGCAAAACTATCCAGGTTCTTCATTGCCCTATCCCTTGGTAAAGGGGTTGTACACACAGAACCAGCCATAAAGGCGTCTGTGTGATAACACTGCCGAACTTGATAAAGACAGTTCATGTGAAGCGAAGGTAATGCATTCGGTTTTATTGTAATCTCTCACATCCGGTGCAGCTCGTACGAAGAAAACCTGCTCCAATATCTTAGGGACAGTACTGGGCTCAGGAAATGCTGCGTGAAGGCCAACTTGATGCAATTGACACGTTGGCAGGTGCGGTTTTCGACCGGTGGCGCCTTGGACACGATGCTGCAGAATTTTCTTGACCTCGTCGATGCTGTACGAGGAGTGGCAGTTGAGATGAAAAGTCATAGCCTGTCCTCATGTGCAGCGGTCTGGTGGAATATGAACTTCCACATGTACCAAATGGGATTCCGCATTGTTTCGTCAGAATGATGGGAGGCTGGTGGATCTGGCAGTTCAGCTTGCGGTGCCGGCACAAATTCAGGCACAGGAAAGGCTGCTACAGAAGCCTCCAAAGATGGCCGGCCAACGGAACATCCGGAAAAAGTACAAGAACTGCTTCCTTCTGTTCAGCTTGGGCCTCCCGCAAGAGTTGATCGAATTTGATAGATGTGTTCAGGAGATGGCTGTTGCTCCTGATAACTCGCTTCTTGAGCTTGCCACCAGCGCTCTGATTCTGAAATCTTTGTGGGAGTGGATCTGTCGAAGATCTTGGCTCGCCCTTTGGGAGCTCTTTTGTGAACCTATTCCGCTCTCCCCGGCGGTCATCTTCAAGAGTCAGGGTTGGAGCAAATCCAGCAGCGGGTTTTGAAGCTGCTGTGGGGTCAGGAACTGCACTGTGCTGCTGTTCTTTTGGAAAATCAGCAGCATCCAACGGTGCTAAAAGCCACACATAACCTATTCTTGCACCACGAGCCCTTATTGCCCACCGCCGGTCCGAAGACGGCGAATGGACAAGGGTCTGGTATTTGCATGAACGGATTTCATGAGTCAATTTGAAGCACTCCAGCACCAACTGACAGGTTTAACTTGTCCAAAGTGACGAGTACGAGGCTTTCCGGGCCAAGCGTTCTCCATGTTGGGTTGTTTCTGGAAAGAAGCTGTAATTTCTCTTGGGTACCCATGATCCAAACACTGTTTTGTCAAGAATTCCAGGAATCTCAAACTTGCTGATGTGGTACTGGATTTGAAGTCAGTGGCCCAGGCATACTGCTTCTTGATGGTTTTGTGTATTTGTTGAAACTGAAACACCCAGTCAGGGACAAATTCAGCACTCGGTGGCACTCGTCCAAAGACATCGAGATCCTGCCAGATGTTGAGAGCAGCTTTGTAATGAAATGTCGGGCAGTACACTATCCCCCTGATTGGCTGCATGGTCTTCACAGTGAATGACAAATTTGTCATCCAGTTTGTTCCGGGCCGCTTGGTTTCTCCAAGTTAGCCGGTTCTAGTTCAATCACATGCAAGTGCCATTTTTTCAGCAGCAACTGATTGAATGACTTTGTTAACTCAGCTGGTAATCCATGTTTGTTTCGCCATCTTGCAATTGGAGGCGATTGGTTTCAGAAAGGTTTATCTTGATGGAAAAAATTGTGAATGCTGCACTTCCTGCTCCACGAAATCCGTAAGCGTGATGTATGGGTGACAGGTTTGCAAAACTTGTCACCGCATGTCCATCAGCGAAAACAATATTTGGCAAAACTCATTGCAACAGCAAAGGAGTTCTGCGTCAGGGTTGGGTAACTCCATCGTCCCCCTTCTTGTTGTTGTGGAAAAAAAAGTTTTCAAGCTGTGGTGAGGCTTTTCTCTCACCTTGGACGAAGGAATGTGAAATGGTACGAGAATGTGCTTAAGTCGGAGAATTTGGCTTCGAAGCCACTTGGACACTCGACCGGAAAAGAGTGGTCAGATGTGAACTGGATTTGAAGCCCCATGGCACCTTTGGGCCAAGTCATGTTGCACAGTTGACATGCTGCCTTCAAAAGTTGGCGCGCTGTGCTGCGACTCGGTTCTTCCAAATTGTGGCTGAGACCAAAGAGTGCATATATCTTTTCAGGAAGCCATATTTGAGATCGGATTTCTTGCTGGCTTTAAGAGACTGCTTCGTGAAACTAGCAAGATCATACGACATGTTCGAGGCTTTGTGCCTGGACAGCTGGAATCTGTAGGGCTGCTGATTTGGATAAAACTTTTTTGAGCTTAATCCACAGTCTACGTCCAAACTTCGAACAGGAGTTCCTTCGAATTTTGGTATTGGTGCGAAATCCTAATGCCGTTCTTTGCAAATGTACAGTTACAAAAGGATAATTCAGCTTGGGCGGCCAAGAGTCTATGAGCATGTGCTCCAATATCCATGCTTGGCGATAGGTGTCGCGTGTTGCAGTTTGCAACGTGGTGTACAACTCAAATGTAGCCAAACTGTGCCAGCGTCGAATCGCAAGCTCTGCTTAGTTTTCTCGGCCTTCCGATAACTTTCAAAAAGTTAACATCCTGTTGGATTGTCTGTTAGCAACGCTGATGGACGTCGATCCAACATACATGTACGTGCAAGGTGCCGATAGTTTTTTGAACAGTATAAAAAGGCGCCAGCCCACTACTGATTTCATGTGCACCGCATTGCATGGGTCTTAAAAAACCACGGCCAATTGTACATGGCTGGATGAACATGCGTCGCTTGGAGTTTTCTCCGCAAACTCTCCGCTTGAGATTGCTGCGCAGAATCGTTGAAACAAAACAACAGGATCAAATGAAGCAACCCCTGAGACCAAATCGAAGATTTCGGACAATCGGGACAGTGATGAATGAAAAAAGTGCAAGCCTCTCCAAAGTTGCAAATCTGCTGCTTGAACCATTTCCGTTGGTGGCTCTTCATTTTCAGTGCTTCGTAAGCGAGTCACGAAGCTTCAAATTGTGCAGTTGCTAGCGCGGTTGACAAGTTCTTGATTGTTAGACGGGCTGCCAAATTCTCACCCAAGCCAAATTTAAGCAGGAGTGGTCAACTCTTGTAGTGACCTTGCTTGAACAGATCCTGAACAGTGCTCACATGCTCTTTTCAGCTGTGCGAACTTGCCTTTAAAAGCCGGCTTGGCCTTCAAAGTTTGAAGCCAATCTTCAACATGTTGTCCAGCCGCTCCCTTGGGTCGAGAATCCAGTTTGTTCGTGGGAGGACATTCCAAAAGTTGCCGGGCTTTTTCATCGCTTGAATCTTTGCTCAGCTTGGCCTTCTTGGCAGGCTTTGAAGCAGGGTCTGCTTGAATGGGCAACCCGGTGTTGCCTGATCACTTGATTGAGCCTCCCTCTTATCGGGAGTCAAAAAGCTTAGGCATGAGCTGCAAGCTGGGCTTTGGCTTTTGCCAACGCCTCAGCTTTATCAGACGAAGGTGTTGCTGACAGCTTGGCTTTCATGTGAACCTGCCAAATCTGACGACAGCTTCCGCGTAAATTTGGAGGCATCCTTGTGCTTGTCGGGAATTTCACCCGTAAACAATGTCCGAGTTACTTCGTCAACATCGAGATCCAACTCTCTGATTCTTTTCAAAAGTTGAGTCGTGAGGACGGCTTCCAATGCGGATCGGGGCCAAACAATTCCTTGATACCGTCCTTCACTCAACGAAAACTCAGAAAGGCCTCTGTGGGACAATTCCCAAACTCGAATGTCCACTATACTGGTAGGACGGCCAGCCAAGCTTTGCTTGCGGCTCCATTCAGTAGGCTGAACTTCTCGAAAAAGCTGATGGCCTTGTTTGCCTATTGGCTGACGATCCCAAAACTTCTCATCGGAATGAAATGACACTGGAAGAGTCGGTTTCGGGCTGGTAGGTGTTGCTGAAGAAGGCAGCGATGGAGGCTTCGAAGGTTTTTTCCAAGCAGAACCGCCGCTGTTGACCAGGTTGGCCAGTCATCCGAGGACCAACCTAGTTGCCAGTAGTTGAATCGATCATTCCAATTCTTGCCGTACCACTCAGACCTGTCTTCTCGACCGAAGACATCGGTGGGAGAATGTAACAGCTGCGTTTCGACAATTCCTTGTTGGGCCAAACAGGTCTCAAGGCTGAGCGAGTGTGTGGTTTTCGGCAAAGCGAAACAAACTGAACCAGCCTAGCAGTTAATCGCTCAGGCTCATGGCTGTGCTGTATCAAGCACATACATCTCTCTGATGAACCGCTCAGGGTTACGCAACACGTAGCCGATCAGGGCTAATGCAAATAGAACCGATCAGGGTTCAGAACCGTTCAGGGTCCAATGCAGTAGGCGGTCCTACCGTAGACCGCACGTTGAACGAAAAATCGTCGAGATACACACACTTGTGCAATCCTCCCTCTGATTGACTTCTTTCTGAAAGACACTCCTAAATTACTAAATGCATATGTGAAGACAGATAGCCACTAGGCAGTACATGGGATTCTCGGCTTCAGCCCCGTGCCATAACACTGCACAAGGCACTTGCAGACGACACTTGCTAGATGATTCGCAAGTAGCTTGATCAGACCCAGTATCAGCCGCGGCATAGCCCTCTTGGTTGGGCAACCAGCTATGCTCACGGGGTTGCCCCCTTGCTGAGAAAACAACTCAATCAAGATTCTTCAGTGCCTTGTCCCTTGGTAACAGAGCTGGGCACACACACACACACAGACAGGTTCGCAAACGCGCGTTTACAGGTGCGAACATGCACAGGCAAGTGCCCACGCAAGGGCATAAACGCTTATTATTGTTGGTGGAACTCTCCACTAAACTCCGGCTATCTGCCAGTCATGCCTCTGTTCAAGAGGCATTGGCAGATCCAGAAACCGCGACCTTGGTCAATGCGGCCCCTTGTCAGAAGATAGTCCAGGAGTCCAAGCGGTGCCGCCTGGCACCTGTTTTTCGTGCCCTGTCAAGCCCGTTGAAAGTTTCCCCATAAGACCTCCTTCAAGGAAAGCTTGTGCATGACATTCTGCCAGTGTGCATGTTTGGGTTTTTTTTTATGACGCAGACACCAGGTAACCTACAGCTCCGTCCTCAAGAGCTTCAACCACCAGAAGCGTTTTCATCGTGTTTGGGAGGTCTACGAGGAGCATACAATACAACCTCGGTGTACTTTGTGCCCAGTTCTGCGTACCGGCTGCACCTTCCCTGTGTCTCTCGCTCTCTCTCTCTCTCCCTCTCTCCCTCCCTCTCTCGCCACTCCTTGTACAAGCAGTAGCTGTAGTTGCAAGTGTTCGTGTTGTCAGCGCCAAGGAGTATGATGCAGCCGTGACATACAAGTGTCGGAAAAGTCATAATGCCACAGTACCATGATTAGTTTCTCATTGGGAACAGCGCTTGATCACATTGCACACGGCAAAATGCTGGACTCGCTGGAGACACAGACGGCTCGGAGTCCCCCACTCAGAATCTATCATCTACAACAGCAACTTTTTGCAGTGCAGTTTCGGTTTGGCCTGGCATGGAACCCGTCAATGAGACGAGCCTACTTTGGCAGGAGATGATAAAACAGAAGGTCGAGTTTTCCGTGACGACATACAATGCGCTTCTGGATGCGGCGGGCTCATAATGCACTGTTTCAGTCAGATTGATTACAACGGCAAGCCCGGCGATGTGACCAATTCAGTGCGAATCAGCTTTGCTGTCGTCGGTTCGAAAATGAGAGCGGAGGCGAGCAGGCACCGAGGTGGGCTCTCCCACCGTGACGCACTCTGATGAGAAGTCGTCGTCGCAGTTGCACTAGCACTAGCTGTAGCTGCAGCTGTAGCAGTAGCAGTAGCCGTAGCAGTAGCAGTAGCAGTAGCACTAGTTGTAGCAGTAGCAGTAGCTGTAGTTGTAGCTCTAGCAGTAGCTGGAGCAGTAGCTGTAGCTGTAGTTGTAGCTGTAGCAGTAGCAGCAGCAATAGCAGTCGTCGTAGTAGGAGTCGTCGTAGTCGTAGTCGTAGTCGTAGTCGTAGTCGTAGTCGTAGTCGTAGTCGTAGTCGTAGTCGTAGTCGTAGTTGTAGTCGTAGTCGTAGTCGTAGTCGTAGTCGTAGTCGTAGTCGTAGTCGTAGTAGTAGTAGTAGAAGTAGAAGTAGAACTAGTAGTAGTAGTAGTAGTAGTAGTAGTAGTCG